TTGTTGAATGAAGGATGGATAATGATAAAACACAGGTTTCCAGGCTCTGAAGAAGGCGATTACGCCGAAACGTAAGTTGATAAGAACTTATTTAACATCTTGGCAGCAGGTTTTAAAAAAGTCTTATAACATCAATGCAAAGCGATGCCAAGATTCATCGAGAGTCGAACATGGATGATATGATTTGCTTTTGATTAAATTTAAATCATTGGAAAGTGGTAAGGATTCGTACTTCAGCACGTTCTCGTCGGATCCGTTCCTCCCTTAACGCTGCCAGCTTGTTGCGTTTCTCGATTTCCAGTTCACAATTGTCCACTTCCACTTCATCGTCTGACGAGTGGTGATGTTTGTGCTTCTTTTTCTTGTTTTTCTTTTCTTTTTTCTTTTTCTTCTTTCTCTTTCTATCGTCAGAATCTGAGACAAATTTATAAGTGACTGGAATGCATCAAAAGTGTAACATATTAAAAAAAGAAAAAGCAAGGGAAGAACTAAAGGGTGCTTGTTGTTTACTAATGCGTGCATTGTTCAGGCATTCACTCAACAACATTGCTAGGGATTTTGAAAATCGTGATCTCACCGCTGGACTCCTCACTCGAGCTACTTTTACTCCGTCGCCTTTTGTGATGTCTTTTTTCCTTTACTGTGTCCTCATTGCGCTTTACATCTGGCGCACGAGAGGAAGTAACTGGTGTACTTGGTTTCACCTGAACGGTGATAGCTTTGGAATGACTGGAGAAAAAATCTTGAGTTTAGAGAAGGGTAAACTACCTTTGGCTCATCCTTTACCCATGGTCTCGAAACTTTTTCATACCATTCTTGCACTTTGTTCAGCTCATTTGTGCCTTCAGCAAAGCATTTCTGGATGCCAAGTTTAGAATCGAATTCCTAAAGAAAGTACAACTTGTTAGCGGCTACAGAAATATTTTTCAACCGAAAAAATATTCAAGATGAGTTGATTAATTTGGGACGAATTCGCCCTTGACGAAGTCAAAATTATACCCACCGCTTGCTCCTTGCGCTTTTCCTCTTCATACTCCTTATTCCCTTGACCAAAATTGTTGCGTTCAGCAGCCTCGAGATCCTGCAGCAGCAAATTTAATTTGTTACAAGAGATATAGTGAATAGAATAGTCCCACCTGAAAAAGATTAACATGACCAGTTGTTGTGGAAATTGACGCCTCGGCGGAAGCTCGTAATGTGAAGGGTTCCAAATTGGCAACTCTGAAACCAAGCATTCTTTCTAGTTTTTAGATTAATTATCATCGAACGATGGAGAATCATCTAGTCGTCTGCTCTGTCCTGCGATCTCAGGCAGTAGAATAGTACTTGTGCTGACTCACTTCTTTGCCGCATGATTTCTTAGCGCATCCAGACGTCTTTCATTTTCGGCTGTAATAGCCCTATCAAGCCTTTGCCGTTCCTCTTCTGCTGCTTTCGCTTCATCCCTTCGCACTCTGGCTATGTTCTCTTTCGTTCGTACATGCCATTTCTTCTTCGGTAAGATATTCATCGGTAGTAAATGGAGGCAGCCTGCATTTTTCTCTTCGTCATTATGTAAAGGCAATACCAGAAATGACCATGAATACAAGGAGATGTATGTGTGAATCATAACACTTCCAAGATGTTTACATAGTCAAAAATTCAATAAATATGTTTTATTATAATAAATTAGGTAATGTTTCATTATGCCATATAAAATGTCAAACAAATTTTATTATAGAAAGAAATTTTTGGAAAAAATTTAAATCCTGCACAATTAACGAGATTATAAGGCGATTAGGTTTCACAAGGCGGGTAAATTAATGACACTGCAGTATTCAAAAGGCTTAGAATAAATTAATGAATCAATCAAAACCAATCAATATCCCATCTAAAACGATAACAATGGATAACACAGCTAAGGTCAAAGGTTAAACACAGGGGCTGCTAAGGAATCTGCACAACCATAATGACTATTTGGGGGAAAATCACTAGTACATCTACCAGTACAGATCAATACTGCTTTGAGCACGAGCTGCTGTAACAGTGAATGATAGAATGATTTTGCTCTGAAGCGCCATGAAAGCAAAATTTGAGGATTAAACCGCCTCAGAGATTAGTCAAGTACCAACTGCCTCTAGGCAGTGGCCATAACTTCAATTTTATGCAGTCATCGTCGGTATATACAGGGCATTGATCGCATCGCTGAGTCGAACTTTCTTCATATGACGCATGGTGTCATGAGCAAACACATGCTCTCGATGTCGCAGCGGTCGCACATGGTTTTTATGAGCAAGGCGATAAGCCCGAGAGGCGTTTATCTGAAGTAAAACTTGATACGTGGGAATAGTCTAGCGGTAAGTCCAAATGGGACAGATCAAACTCAGAGCTTCAGGGCAAGGGCATGGCAGATCACTGTAACGTACCACAGTGAGCCGAACCAGCTCGGCAAGCTCTTCGCTGCCCACCAATGCTCCATCATAGAGTGGACCGAATTCCAACGCGCTGACCGTCTCTACTCGTACGCGATACATCTTAAATGAGGGACATAATCAGGTTCTAAGTAATGTCAGATGAGTGATTCGAAAAGTGCCCGGCACGGTAGAATTCTTACTTTGGTATCAGCTCTCTCCAACACAATCAGAACATCGCAAAACTTGGTGGCAATCGTTTCTCGTCGATAAGGTTTCGAGTGCTCTGACCAGACCACATGGACCTAAATGAGATTTGACGTTGTACTGGCACTTCAATAAGTCTTTAATTCCATCTTCTGCTTATTTCACCATTCAATTCTTCCAATTTTTTATATTTTTTTTCAAAACCATAGGTGTGTAGGTGGACCTGAACCAAAGACAATAAGCCTTCTCGAATTAGCAGCCTTTTCTTCTTACTTCAAACCCATTCATATCTGATGTCACATTTACCTCATCATTTCCTATATGTTTCCATTTTTGCGTAGCATCTCCGGTCAAGTGAGTACTGACGTGGAAGATCAGCTCAGTGTCCGGTGCTGCATAATATGGAGCCTCAGTATCGTAGGGCAAACCGCCTGGGTATCCCTCATGACCCCTTCCAATGCGGACCTAAACAAATGTTGAATTTGCAAAACCCGAATTTAATCTAAAAAGACGAGCTGGCAAAAAAATGAACTAGTAAACATACCTGCCAACCGAGTTCACTAACGAAGCGTTCAAAGCATGGCGACGCTGTGGTATTTGATAGGATCGATTGCTTGTCTTCTTGACCATCAGCAACGTAAATCACGGCTACCTTAAATTATACAAGTGTACCATAGGAGGCCATATGTGGGCCTGTCATATTACTCTCGGTCGGGTATGGAGACCTACTCAAAGTTCTCTGAGAACGTCAAATGGAACTGGAACTTACTTTATGTACCTCCCTAGCACAAGTTTGATCAAGGTGCTTCAAATCACGTGAGAAGTTTAGCGGAACTTCTGAGACGCTTGGTACGAAGCCGAGACTTGCAGAAAAAGATCGCCATTCATGAAGGCTGAAAATAGAACTTCCGTGCGCTTCCACAACAGAATAATCAATTTTAAACTTTTGCTGTCTCTAAAGCCAAGGGGGCAAAAATTTTTCTCAAGGAAAATCGACTCACCGAGACGGTGCAGCCTTCGGTGCAAATGGTGGTAGCGGTTTCAAAGGCTGTGGCTGCCGTCGGCTATCCTCTAAAATCGCCATCCATTCTGGCGGTGCTTTGGATGGTACAACATTACTTTGTCGCGGCAGTGCATCAAACGGATCATCCATCGCGCCAAGAATACCGACGGATTCTCTTCCTGAAAACGGGAAACTCTTTACGTTGGTCACATGGGAGGAGTCACTTAGTGTATTCGAAGAGAGGCCTCGTGAAAATTTGAGAAAACCTTTATTTGAACGAAATTCAAGAAAACTCGCCTGCACGACGTCCTCTCTGTGCTTCTTTTTGCAACCATGCATTCACGTTGCGCCACTCCTTCCGCTCAGCCTTGTGTGGTTCCAAAACCCAACAGTGCCTTCCAACAACTGTGCGGGTTGTCACTTCCAACTGTGAATCCTTGGCCACTCTAAAAGCAAAACACAAATGTCCAAATACACGAAGAAATCTTCTACAAAAAAGCCTCGAATGAATTATCGGAATTGGTATATTTCATAAATTCTACCCAATAATTGCGCTATCCCTTTGCACGAAAACCTGAGTCTCATTTGTTTTCGTTGACGTGGGTTCCACTGAGTTCCACTTAGACACATTGAAGCCCGGGAGAGGAAATTGGCCCTCCATGGTTAGTAATGCTCCTGAACAAGAAATATCTAATTCAAAAAAAAAATTAATGTTGGAGAGTCCCTTTCCAAGATGAATTTTACCTTCTAACAATTTCTGTTGGTCCACTAAGAAGGCCCTCGTTATCTGAGGAAGTTCACTTCTAAGTGAATGTGACAACGCCAAAGATGCAATCGTCCAGAGAACCTCCGTTCGTAGACGTTCGTCGCGAAGAGTTGGGATAGTTCGAAGCACTACTGAAAAACCACTGCTCAATATGGAAAAGTGAAGAGGAGTCGATAGGTTTTGATGACTAACTTTGTAAAGTATTTGGATTCTTTGCCACTTTATAGAGTGATTCAAGGCAAGAGCACAACAAAGGCATAAGGCTGGGACCACATCTGTGGTTCTGCAGGAGAGCTAGCATCTGAAATTCACCGTCTGTATTTAAGGAGATATCAAATAAAAAGATAAAAAAATACCCTCGACATGAGCTCAGAGTCTCCACGTTGTATAACCAACATGGACAAAGCGTTAACGCATAGCAAAGCATGGGTAAGCGAGATTTCAGGTTGAGACAGCTGAAATTCATTCAACTGACCTTAATTTTAACGAGATAGGAAGCGAAATTTTTCAATAGACGCTATTTCTATGAAAATAGAAGAAAACCTCTAACCTGACTTAAAAGCAATTGCTCTGCTGACGGGCTGGAGCTGCTCAATAGAGCCAACACCTTCAAACAATGCGAACTAGGCGGGTTCTGTGATATCATAGCAGGGATTGCTTGGAGCAGGTTCTGGGACAGGACCATCAAGTGTCGTGGAGACATCAACGCCAAGTGTGGAAGAACCTACAACGGTGCCGTATGCTGCTCTGACTGATTGTGCTTTAAATAACGACCGAATGACCAACCTGTGAGTCGCCAGCCTTGATGAGCCGCATAAAAGCATGAAGAATATGTGCCTGGAGCATTGGTGTCGGCTGGCGACTGCTGTTCAGCACCGATCCCAACGAAGCAATGCAATTTGGCAGCAAATTCACAGGTGTCTGCACTAATCTGGCTGCTATCCAATGAGCCAAAGGGTCCAGACTTGCCTAGAAAAGCTCTTAAGTCAATTTTATCCGTCTCGATCTAGAACTGGTTCATTCCTACTTTTCGGAAATCATCCATATCCATGTAATGGCTCATGTATGGCTTATGCACCAAACTACCAAGCGAGTATCAAGGTAGGTTTCTAATGTCAAGGAAAAAGTTTGACATAGTGGCCATTAGGACCCACCCCAAGAAGACTGTTGATTGTGTTTGATAATGTTTCCACAGCAATCGCAGCATTTGCCGAACTGACACTATGAGGTCCGAGCAGGCACATGAAACGACGCCATACTTGTAGCCACTGAGTTGGATTACCTGACCATGTCTGAAGAGGGGAAATATACAGAGATGAGTCTCTCGTTTCTCAAAAAAAAATCAGTGAAAGGAGTGATGTCCTGATCACCTGAACAGCATTGGTAATATCGTCAGCATCTATGAATGTGCTGTTATCATCATTCGCTTCGTTATCGCCTGAGTTTTCGTCAGCGTTTTCATTTTCAACCACATCAGATTTCTTCTTCGAGATAGACTTCTCGTTCTGAAAAAGTTCAGAATCGGATTTTGCACAAAGTTCGCGCAGTCTAAGCTTACCGCCTTGTCCAGATCCTCCTGAGTGAAGATATCCACATGTGCCAAGTGCAGTATCAGTGCTCTTGTCACGCTTTGTGATAGCTACAAAAGACATAGAGTTATAAGGCCAACCGTCCCCATGAATTCAACATTCCACCCATCCAATGCCCTGCCAAAAAAAAAGAAAATGAAGTGAAAAAAATACCCGAGCCCATTGGTGCGCCATTTGAATCCAGATACCGCGCTGAAAAACGATATGAACTTCGTCCCAGAGCTTGTCATCAACTTCGATTTGTCGCACAGCCTAAAATAATCAATCCATACTTGGTTAACAGCGCTTCAACGGTTACTGAAACTGTTTGATACAAGCCAAACTTAATTACAATCAGATTTGCAACAAAATAACTGCGTATTCCTTTAAGTAATTCGAACCCTTTTTTTGAAGAATAACCACCTGTTTCCATAATTACGGTTTTTAGAAATCCAACAAATTCTAGAAATCTCCATATAACAGTAACTTTTTCTCAACTACCGAAAAAACATCACAACGACAAACCTTTATAAGGACGATGTTGGTCAGTACTGTCATCGCGAATGCAGATGACATTTCTTGAGCGTATTTTTCTGAATGTGAGCAGACTCTCGCGGCCGACTGACACAAACGGTACATCAATTCAGACCTCAAGGAAATATTATGAGAAATAGTCGATGGGAGACAGCACAAGGGAAATTTCTTGTATTCACCACACTCTGACAGTTAATGGTCTTGCGAGGTTATGTCGATATGCGACTAAATCGCGGCAAGTACGTAGTACAGCATAGGATGTTGTGATCGCCGACTGCAAGCGATCCCCAGGTTGAAGAAGATAGGGAGATTGGAAGAATGATAGCAGCATATTGATGAGCAGTAAAGATGAGGACTCAACAGGTACCTGCAACAATCAAAACTGTCGTCTGTTCTCACACAAATTGCCGAAAGGCACAGCAACTTGAGAAGCAACCGCAGCTCATATAAAAACTGCCAATACGATGATGGGCTTGACGAGCTGCACTTGCACACCTCTTGGGCCACCCATGCATAAGGTTTTAGACTTCTGGGAGTATCTATAAAAAGGTCGACATACCTCGTTGCTTGCGACAAAAGGCGGGATTTCATATTGCAATAGCCAAGCAGATAGCGTTGAAACCACCTGAACACGAAACTCTGACACTTTTATGATTCTACTGGAGCTGTATTAAAGTTCCATTTAAGTACGTAAAATCATAGGCGAGCGGAACCACACGTCAATACCTTCTGAATGACATTACTGCATGGTAAAGGGAGAGTCATTGCCTCCCTCATCAATGTCAACGCAGTGTTGGTTGCACGATGTGATGCAAACAAAGCATCGTGGTAGAGAAGCATTCCTGGATGCCATTGAGCGGCAGGTTGTTGGCGAACTGCTGCCAGGTTATTCACCCATCGAATAAGCCAGTACCTTAACAACCAGAATTTTTGTCTAGCGGAGACTAAAGGCTAGCAGCCAAATCGTAACTTTAAACTACCTCGCAATAACTATTGGATCTGCTGTATCCAACGCTTCAATGGTATCATCAGCGCCTTCCCATCCACCAAAAATGTCCACTCCGTTCGCTTCAATGTCTGGGAAGCACTCGGCAATATACAGATTTATCACCCTTGAATATGTTCGGATCAACATAATTATTCAACAATTATATCTGGGTAACGCTGGTACCTACCTATCAATGATGAAGCTTGCACATTGAAATCGTTTCTTCTCATCACTCCATTCAATCCTCACCGACTCACGAGTACAGTACTCAAGGAATTTGTCTAGATAAACCTAAACAAGACATAAGTGGGCTTTTTATAAAGAGTCCTCGGGAATGGTGAGAAATCTAGTACCTGGAGCATCTGCGCACGCTCTTTGGCATTCGACACAGGATTTCCAGGCATTGTCGGTGAGCTCACGCTACGATCCGACCAGTGGGTTGTGCCTGAAGTAGCTAACTACGACACTCCACAAAATTTACATGATTGCAATACATACCAGCCGAATGGCAATATTCCTGGAGCAAGAGTTCTGTATTCTGCCCATTACTTAAAGGGAAATATGGAAGGAGACATTGAAATACACGATCAAGGTCTTCGGTGACCTGCAGATTGTAAAATTGTCTTCCAAGCAAAAACAATTTTGGCAATAAAAAGAAGATGGGCTGGTCTCACCTTGCCGTATATACTGAGACTCTGATAAAATATCAGGAATAATCTGATTGCTATCTTGCGTATAGCCAGAAGGTTTCTAGGATAGAGTGCCTTCTTTAAAATCGCCTCAATAGCATGTCGTTGCCATCCTGGATAATATATACTCTCGAAGAGGAAGAGAGGTGATCATGCTTATTTCACGAAAACTTAGAACTACACGGTCAATTAGAAAAAGATGGTAAAAATACCGCTTCCAACAAGTTCTGGTGCAAAGCAGAGTACTTGTTCTAGTGTCCACAGACCACTTTCACCTTCAACAGCACCCTGTGGATTGGCGACGATGTCAGCTGACAAAAGTAGCTCGTCTACCAGATGGAATGTCTCGAAGCTGTGTTCTTCGATCAGTTGACGCTTCTCCTAGAGGTTCAAACTTTATACTCACTAGGAGAGATGAAATTCCCTACATACCTGTGTTGACAAGGAGTCCAAAAGAATCTTCAGATGCTTCACTCGACTTACACTATCTCTGAAACCATTCAAATAGCTAAGCATCCACACGAAAAGGTTTGCAATCCCACCTTGTCATATCAGTGAAGCGTTGCAGGCTTCCCATCAAATCGGAAGCTTTCGCCTTTCGAGCGAACATCTCTCACTACCACCAGATGATGATGCTTCCGCTCGAGCTACACCTACAGCCTGAAAACATCTCTACTTCGACTTGTCACCAATACACTAATGTCCTCGGTTTCATAGGGTATTTAGGTTGAAAATGGTAAACTTTGGATCGAACCTCCATAAGATCGCTCGAACGCCAACGGTATAGACTCTTTATGTCGAAAACAGGCAAGACAACATATGACAAACAGAAAAACACAATTAGCTTGATTTTTTTCTAATAAGTACGGACTGTACTGTTAAAGAATTCTGAGGAATCCGTGACTATTTGTTTGCGAAGACTAATGGAATCAGAATAAACAGATATGGCAGTCAACACAAGTAGGAACTCTCTAACAACTATCCAGCCTAATAACATCAAATTTACACAAGAAAGCTGAATGAAAACAAAAGTATGCAAACAGCTCAAAAAATTTACAAGAACTATCACAATAGCCGATCTCGACTGATAAAAAAATACAATCCATACAAAAGGGTCCTAACTGATGCAAATTAGACATATGGACTGCTGGGAACAACTATCTCAGAGGAACATCAGAAACACACAATGCTGTGATTGGTTTCGTATGTCCATCGTATTTCATGACCATTTGGCCAGAATCCAAATCCCATAGCTTTACACGATTGTCTGATCCACCAGTGAACAGCAACCTTGAAATGAATACACACTAATGAACAATGGAGCCTTACTCAAGAAGTGAAACCGTTCAAAAAAGGAACAGCCATGAAATCTCTACAAAAAGAAAGCTTTGATGGGTACTAATGCGTCAAACATAATTTCGATTCATTGCTAAGGTCTAAACTGCCGTAAACTAAGTGATACCGTGAATCACAAGTGAACGCTGAACTCCAATTCCAGTCACATCCCGCATCTATAGTCGACTTCAACGAGGTATCACACGAATCGAGTATGTTGATAATATTATCGGCACCTGTTGTAACAAGGGTTCTGCCATCTGGTGAATACCTAAACACAGAATAGTTTCTAGGTGCGCTAAGTTAATGACAACTGAGCAGCTTCCCCATCATACCTGCAGCTGAGTCCGTACGATTTGTGAAGCAATCGCTTGCCTGTATCAATTAGATTTAGCTTAGCGAATGTTTCAGTTGTTCTCTCGATATAATTCTGAAAAAAGAAAGCGTCATCAAATCGCAATTTGTTAAGACCCGATTTCATAAACATATTATGGGAATTGGCAAATTAAACAAGACGAATACAGATTCCCAAGATAAACAATTAACGAATTCTAGACGACGACATTTCTCTGTTGAACAAAAAGCTCAATTCAAGGACATAGAACATCTCTGCAGATAACTCTTCTAGGTTGAAGAACTCACCACCTTCTGCGCCCACTCATCCGATCCGTTACTCAAATCCCATACGATCAAATACCCTATAATCAAGCAAACTTGAGAAGCTTAAAATGAAATGATCGAAGTAAAAATGGTAACCTCTATTTGTTACACCCGCCAAAAGATTAGCTGAGGGATGTATGGCAAGATTTGTAACAAATTCTTGGTAAGAAAGCGGGGGCATTGGTAGCTGCATATGCCCATCCCGACGCAAATCCCAGACGTATACTTGACCTGAACAAATGCCCTTTTATGAAAAAGTGAGTTCTCGAAATACACAGGGGGAAAATTAACACAGGACAGCATTAAATCACGTATAATTTCAGCAGCATGATATGAAGGGCTAAAAATTGACTGACCTGCCTGGTCCGCAATAAACAGCTCTACTTGGTTCCCATGGATAACCACGCTAGTCACTGGATCTAAATTCTAAAACAAAATGTATAACGTGTTCACAGAAAGGGTATGTTTGAAAGCAGTTTAACACTTTTAAATCACTCGTAACCGGCTGTTGTTACACAATACAAGTAGTAAAAAGCATAGTACTTATTCTTCTCACCAACAATGAATGAGAGAACTCTAAACTCGAGGGAACAGACAGAACTTATTTATTTGTTTATTTATTTGATACACCAAAGGAAGTGCCATACAACACAAAAACAGGAATTGAAAGGAGAAGGTCCTCTGGAACAAAAAGAAAAAAAGGAAAAAACGTCAACCTGAGAAAAATTGTGGATAAAGCCAGAGCTGAAGCATGATACACGCCTCACTAGAGGATTGGGGGTGATTGCGAGAAAGAGAAGGAAGCAAGAAGCTCGCATAAAGGAGCATTCCTAGAATGATGCTAGAACCTTTCTCATATGTAGAGAAAGCCTATTTTCCCTGTGAATTTTCAATTCTCAGGTATAAACTTCAAGTGAACCGATTTCCAGGTTCACGGGAACAAGTGAAAATGAAATACTTCAGGTCATGAAGTGTAGATAGTGCATCTCTTGAAGATGCAACGTCCAACCAAGCCTTTCCGAGTAGGTTAACTGAAGAGTTCTCAAAAGACGGCTTTGAAGGTGTAAAGAAAAATGAAGGAGGAGTGAAAGATGGAAGGGTGAAATGCCAGGCTGACACAGCGGGATAGCAGTAAGTGGAAAACAAAAATGAGACATTTAAAAACTGAAGTAATTGAAGCTCTTGTTTTCATTAATTTTTTAAACTATGGAATTCGTCAATAACAGGTTCCTAATGAGCAAAGAAAACGCGTGAATGGATGCAAAACTCTGTGAACAAAACAATCACCGCTAAAACCGCTAAATTTAGTTGTAAAATTTGAGGACTTACATCGAATACTCTTTGACAGACTAGTTGATTAACTCGCATCTCATATACCCTGCAAGAATGATCCTCTCCACCAGTGAACATCCAACGACTTTGGGCCTGAAAACGACTTCAAGTGAGAGAAAATACCTCAGCATTCATTAAAGTACAAGCTCCCGATGAAAAACAAGAACAGCCATGAAACGAAGCGAACAAAAGGGAGTTGTTGAGTGATTGCGCAACAGGTTTTTGCACTCACTTACTAGATAACAACAACTCATCGCCATTACCTCTTAAAAGCACTCCTATTCCCGAAATCCCTAGAAATGGAAAACGCAAAATTTCTCGGGTTTACACCTACCTCGAAACCGACCGCTGTGACATTCTTCATTATTTGTTCAAAGCACACCAAAGGAGTGATGTGATTAGAGGGTTTTAATGATGTCATATCGTATATTTTCACTTTTTGGAATGCCGCAACAGCGAGTTGATAACCATTCGGAGTGAAAGCCATTGCATTTACCTGAAGCATCGAATTACACTCTTCACAGTGAAGTGAGGCTCACAACTCATAGCATGAAGAAGGATCAGTCTTGCCAGGCCTACAGAGAGACTGCACCTGACGAGTTGCAGGAAGTCAAGAAATACAATAAGGTGAAAGAGTTGGTAGGCAGGTCAGAGCGCTTAAAACACCAAGGTTCCCCGATTCGAGATGAATTTACGCTCATCCATCTACGAAGTAAAAATCTTGGTTAGCAGCATAACTGCTCGGCAGGATTTTGAGTACTCGTCTCTGACATCCTAATTATAGGTCAGCTTTGGTTTTCTGAAAAAATTTAAAAAAATGAAGAAAATCTAAGAGGAAAAAAAANAAAAAAAACGAAATATCATAAATGAATCAAAGTAGAGAAATTCAAAATGTATAAATCGCGAACTGTACCTGAGAATCTGAGTGAGGTATTGTCGTCACATGTCGGCCTGAACCGACGTCCCAGATACGCACTGTTTGATCATAGGACGCCGAAGCCATCAAGCTATGTACCTCCGTCATCTTCTTCTATTCATATGAAATGTCGAACAGGACGGTTTCTTTTAGTGTCTGAATGCTCATCGACATTAATCCACTCTTTCAGGATGAAGGATTTCGGGTGGTAAATGACCGCGACGGAAAAAAAACGATCAAATAAGAAATCCGAAGTAGCACAAAGATGTAAGCAGTCAAGATTTTGTAAAGACATCTTAGAAACACTTCATGATAACTCGATGGTATACTAAAAAACAGATGTAAACGTATTGAGCCATAAGCCAGGTCAATAGCTTAGAGAAGACCCACTAAATCCCAGAATCAAGCCCCAAAATAAAACGGTTTCAACTCATCCAAGGAATCCGATTCAGAATATTCCACCTTACAGACATACTCGTCTAGCCGAAGGTAGCCATCATAGAAACAGATGAAACTTATCCCACAAGAGTCAAAGGTGTCAAGACCGTTCGTAATAGTAAAGATCTGAACTGACACTTACTTCCCCCTGAGCATCACAGATCACTCTTCTCAACATATGCGCTTTAGTTCTGTGGCATACGTTACTTAATGACTCACCCACTACCTTCTTTCCCGTAATCATAGATCCGATTTACTTCTACGTAAGCATGCATCTCATTTTCGCACTTTTCGATGCCGGTGGGCTCCACGAGATCAACTCTGTACTATCGGAAATTTAGATGCGTAAAGTGGGACCCGAAGGCCGCAAGAATGAATGGCACAATACCGGATGGAATAATTTTCAATTTCATCGCAACCACATGCTTATTTACTCCCACTTTACCCCTACGAGATGTACACGTTTAACTAAACACGCCGCAAAAACCAGCTTCACTACCTAACGAGATTCTAAACATATCTTCGAGGCCTTGAAGTTAATTATATTGCTCAGCTTTAGACTATTTAGGAAAGATGACTCAAACGGAACGCAGTGAGCGCCTAGAATATATACTGGGTTCAACAGGATAAGCACTGTGCAAACTTCCTTGAAAAAAGAGGTTTGAACAATGCCGAAGGCTGCTTAAAGAGTAAAGAAATGGAAGCTGCAAATTCCGGTTCTCAATTTTCCGGTCGCGCACTTTCATGAGGCCTTCTCTCACGCGCTAGTGATTTAGAAACATTTAGATTTTCAGGCTGATTTAGAAACATTACTGTCAGAAAATAACTAAGTATGATAATCGCTCTAACGACTTGCTCTGTAGACATGCACATGTAGATCTTAACATTTACTGCCTATACGTACAGCCATATGATGATATGATCACATTCATTCATTAACAATTATTTTAAATACGACCAGTTCAATGTACAAATAATCTATCGTAAAACAATTCAGGCCAAATAGACAAAACATTTTATGGAAGCAATATCGCTGGCATGAGAACATGTAAAAGTATGCCAATGGATTGGTTTTATGAAAGCCTGACTATTTATTACATATCGCTCCAGTGGTCAACAGAAAAAAATGCTTGGTCTTTATCGCGAGGGAATGAAGTACTTCAACAGTGTAAAAGGCGCTATTTCGCTTTTAAGTGACTCCCTTCAAGCTGGGAAAGAAAGGAAAGTGAACCGGAAACCCATAAGGTGTAAGAGCACAACATTGCACACAGGTGGTTATTCGATAACAAGAATGATAAAAAGAAAAGATGATAAGTCAATTACGAGGTACAAATAACGTTATAAACAACATAAACAAGTTAATTGTTTGAAAAATGATAATAAAGCAAAAATGGCCTCAAGACACTTCGCACCGAATAGGTGAGATGACCAAACTCCATTGGAACTAAATGCATCAGAATTTTCGCCCTGTGTTGAAGCCATGCCAAATGCTTTAAGCTAGGCCTTGGAAATATTTCAACGCAATTCCTACCATGGCAAGCATTAGTTGATGCTGCCTGAATGGCTGTGCGACGGTTGGTGACGAATTTTCGATGACACACGGGATATTGGGTTGGAGCTTTGCGTCGCCATCACCCTTTGCAGCAGGCTCACCCATTGATTGCATTCCTCTTTTGTCAACGCCATCAATAGCCATTCTCGGACAACACCAGTATCTAAAATAGTCACCAGTATATAAGCTTTGGTAATCCTCATGATAGTAATTCATTTATCTTGATGAATCTTATGGAGAGTGCGCCACTATGATGTTGAAAATCTTCTGTTATCTCGCTTCAGTGAAGGTAATGGATAAAAAATATTAAAAACCAACTCACATTTACAAACAGTCAATTGTGGAGTGTTGACGTGGTCTTTGTGAATCTTTAACCGACAATCTGAAAAAGCGCTATTGAAAAACCAAACGCAAAACCTGAAAACGAAAGACAGATAACCCTCAAAACATACTTTTGCACTCATAAGCTGGTGGTGGTCGAACGAGATCGGATAGTTTTTTGCTGCAGATATCACAATAGGTGCTCATATGAAAGGTCAGCTCTTGGAAGTCATGACTTTTCCAGGATTCCTGTAGAGAAGAATATAAACGAAGATGAAAAAACAAACATAAGCAATATTCGCGACAGCTACAGCCTCACGTAAAAGGTACTTACATCTTTTTGCGAAGCTGAGGTGACACTCAAGTCATTCGTTGATGCATTTCGACTTGTAGAACCACTATCGCGATCATCAAACATAATCTAAAGAGAGGAAAGGTAAAGTTTAATGGTTGGGCATTTAAAAAACCGGTCAATACAAACGTGAACTGGTTCTCAAACTGTTTTTTTAATAAAATATAAAATCCACCACTCACATGGAATATTCTTCGAATTTGTTCGGCGTCAGCAACACGAACATCAGCGGCTGTGACCAAGCGGACGTGGCATAATTGGCTAAAAAAATTCTGGTAATAGAAAGAGTTTTGTCTACAGACTATACCACAAGAAGCACGAAAGATAAGAGCGAAAATAGAAAACATAAGAAAAAGCTGGTAAGTCACTTGATTAAATGCCTAAAATTTATCTCTAAAAGACTTTATAGGTAACAGTGAAACAAACCGCGTATCTATCGACATGACAGCGGTTGAATGCGGCTTCTCATCAGGAAACAATTGGAAGGCGACGGCGTTTAGCACAGCGTAGTAGTTGACCCACTTAAGATGCATTCAAATGTATAAAGTCCACTATGCATATCTCCGACCACAACGTTACCTTCATTTTCCTACTTCCAGCGCTTCTCTTTTCCGGCTTCATTGAAACCCAACCACTATGTGGGAGATTGCGAATCGTGTGCGGTATACTGTCACGGGAATCGACTGATCTGAAACAGCAACATGAAGCAATTATAGTACTATAGAAATAATTCGTCCTACCGTGTTTCGTCAATAGTACCATCCCGTCTTCGCTTCATCTCGTCCAACTCCTCCTTTAACTCTTTTACTTCCATTCGTAACGCATCATTATCTCTTTGTTCCTCTTCCAACTCTCTGGTCATGTCTGTCATCATTCGCACTTTGTCACTGTACACCTCGTCGAGTTGGATACCGAGACGACGAATTTCTTGTTGATGATGAATCTGGATATTACTGGTGTTGAGATCGGGCGACTTGATTCCATATTTTCAAAGGAAGTGACAAAGCTCAGCAGTTAGGAACATCGGCTTCAGAAACGAAAAGAATGAAGAGTTATTTAGAAATTTAATGATCGCTGCAATCAACTTCTTATAGCGCCTAACACTTACGATTTCACGATCCTTCTTCAGCAAGTCGGCCTTCGTAATGTGTTTGCCTCCTTTCTTATCAACTCGTTTTGCCATTTCCTCCTCGAGTTTCACGATGACAGCCCTCTTGTGTGCTTTTTCAAGATCTAGCTTCCTTAAAAAGAAATTGATGAAAGCTGCTCTCACCAGACTTCACAGTAAAACCATACCTCTTCAAGTCAGCAATCACCGCTTCAGCCTCCTCAATCTCCGCTGCTTTCTCATTCAGATGCGTCATAGAGCGGGAGAGTTCCAATTCTGATTCCCTCTCACTCAAAATGGCTATCTGCATATCCTTGGCTTGGATCTCCTTTAAAAAATATGCTATAAGCTGGCAGGAATCATAATAGAAGCCTTAACTGAAAGAGAAGAAATGAAAACCGTAACAAATACCTTCTCATGGCGAGCCACCAGCTGTTTCACCTCCTCCTTCAGCATAGTCTTCTCCTTGTCGAATTCATTCACATTCGTTTCAGCGATCTGTCTCGCTAAACGCTCGTTCTCTACGAGGTTCTTGTACTGATCGGCAACTTTCCTGGAATCGGACAATACTTAAATGGAAAATGAACTTCAGTGAAGACTAAAGTTTAAAAAAAAAGTTCCACAAAAGCAAAAAGCACATTATACAAGGAAGTACAAAAGTGTCAAAAGAAACTTACTCTAATTCGATTACAGAATTCCTCAGCAGCTTTTCGCGATCCTCAGCATGTTCATGAGCCATCTTGATCTCACTCTGGTACAAGCTCTGAAAAAGGGGAGTAATTCTTTTTTTTGAAAAACTTCATTTCGAAAAACAAATAGATGTTTTTTGAGCATAACTACTTACAATACACTGTTGGTCCCTGTTCTGCTCTTCCTGAACGTTGCTCAGTCGATATTCCAAACTACAATTCTCTTGTTTCAACACTTCCAACCTCACTTCATAATCTTGCAACTCGCGTTTCAGTTTGTTATTCTCCTGAATACTCTCAGTGAACCAATGTAAACAAGGTAAAAATGCTGGAACGTACTTCGATGAGGTACCGCTCATTCGATGCGATTCCAGCCAATTTCTTGGCCACGTTCGTGAGTTCAGCTTGGACATCAGACTTCTTTTTCGTCTCTTGATAAAGTTCACGGCGGAGCTGCTCGACCTAAAAGTTGACGTTGACGTTTTCGACTTCGAAAACAATTCAGCTGAGTAGATATCATTGTAAAGAAACGGCCAACGTACACAAAATAATGTGACAATACCTGTTTCATAGTTTGATCCAGCCTCTTTTCCATTTCCATTTCAGATTGTTTAGCAAGTGAGAGTGATTCCTGAAAATACACACAAAATTAATTCAAAGCTCTGTTAAGCGAGACTAGTACTGCGGTAATGGCCCAACAGAGTCAAAATTCCTTTTCAGACCTGGAAGATGCCATTCTCCTTTCTGTCCTCAAGGGCCTTTTTCAACTTTCTCGTGAGCTCGTCTTCTTTCGTGCTTTGATCGGAAATTCTCATTCGTAGCGTCTCGATTTCACGTTTCTGGTCCTTAAGAATACGACTATGAGCAACCGTTAAATAGATGCCTACAGCCAAACTGACCCCTATCGTGATAACTTGTCTTCGGCTAGCTTCCTTCTCCTCGGCAAGTTTATTTAGCACCTCCCGCACCTCGACTTTAGCGGCTGTCTCATCCTCACGGGCCTTCAGGAGATAAAAGCATTACAGAAGCGCGATTTCATGGATTTGCACTGAACTGCACGAAAGCGAATGAAACAAAAACCTTTGCAAGCTTCTCTTCGAGACTACGCACGACTTCGCGTTGCACTCGTAACTCCTGCTCCATCCGCCGGTCGTTCGCTGACTCCGATAGTTGCCGTAGGCGTTCTTGCATTTGCATCATCTCGGTCTCAGTTATTCGCAAATTTTCGGTGCACCTTCACATTGATTGATCCGAATGGATAATGAATAGAATATGGAATACAAATGAGAAGGCAATTATGTATTCCATACGTACCGCGCCACTTCGCTTTCGAGTTTACGAATAGTTTCTTCTTTTCTACCCGTTTCCTCAAGCTGAGATCGCAGTTTTTTCTCGGATTCAAGTAGGGCAGATTGCGCCGTGCTAAGCTGACGAGTCAAATCCTAAGGAAAAACATGTGCGACAAGTACAAAATCGTAATGAGTAAGCATAAAACAAGCGTCCTATCAAATGTTAATATTAAGAGGCTAAAACTCGAATTCTTACAAAACAAACCTCGAATTCACTATTGGATACTCCATTTGACAGCGCTGGTGCTTGCTCCTTTGTCGCGGTGGTAACCGATGGGCTTGAGCTGGACGATTCTTGGATTTGCAGAATAGGGCTGGAACGGATAGCTACTTGGCTACCAAATTTCCATGTGACGCTATATAAATAATCCATTAAAGCATTCGAAAACTTAAAATTAGCACAGCAGGATTGGTTCAAAACTTTTCCAACAAAAATGGAATTTGAACAAAGCTTATCTGACACACTACTCACCTTAGCTCATTCGAGTAGGTGAACCCAATAAATGGTAACTGATTTCCTATGAAAGTCTTTGGGAGCTGGAACGATTCAGTCATGGGCTTCGCCTCGATATCCTAAATACGTTTGTATAAGCCACCGTGAGAAGACTTACTCATTACAACAAGATTGCAGTTCCAGAAGGCGGAACAACTACGAAGGAAGTCTCAACCTTACCTCAAAGTGAGTAGTATCGTCATCACCTTTTAACTCGGGAATGACTGGCGGAGTAGCTAGAAAAATTTAATCATAAAGCACTAAAAAACCAGACCCAAATATTGACAGAAAAAAGGGCACCTACCGTTACGAAGGGTCTCGAATGTCCATTCATCATTCTTGAAAAACGGATGCGCCCGGATTGCATCTACTGACTTTCCCAGTCGGACATCAGCAGATGATAGAAACTTCCTTATAAGATCCTGAAAACGAATCGTAAGCTTTGCAAACTGCAGGGCCTAATCCTAGAGAAGATCAAACCTTTGCATGGGCAGAGATCGCAGGTTCATCAGGGAAACGAAGGCTGTTTTTGTGATCCATGATGTTAGAGTACGTCGATACCAATGCTTCAGCAAAGAATGGCGTTTCGCCAATCAGCATTTCGTAGATGAAAACTCCAACTGCCCTAGAACAAGCCGAATATAAATGAAATGAACATCATCGTAACTAAGAGAGAAGCTCAAAGGAGTCTTTCCCATAGAGGGATGGCGCACAAGAAAAAAGCGGGGAATAAAAGTATCCCATATAACTTACCACCAGTCCACTTCTGTGCCGAATTCTGCTTCTTTGCCCTGATTTTGGAGGATTTCGGGAGCAATATAGTCAGGCGTACCAACGGCTGCAAAAGTAATTGAATGAAAACATAAAACACAAGATGAATGAGAAAATTCCACCTCCTGTTCGCAAATCTTGGCATTACAAGAATTTATACCTGTGGAGCACTTGATAACACCGTTTTTGTTCATCTTTACGCACGTGCCGAAATCAGCGAGTTTTATATGACCACTTCGTGAGATCAACATATTATCCGGCTTGACGTCCCTGGAAAGATTCAAATTCTTTGAACTGTCATTAAGAGGAAACAAAAAAAAAACTAAACAAAATTGTTCGAACCTATGAATGTAGCCCATCGAATGAAGAGCAGCAAGTGCTTCAACAAGTTCGGCTGCATAGAACCTCGTCCATTTCTCAGGCACATCGTACCTAGATTAAGGATTAATACTGATTTGGGAACTTCAAAAGCGGCTCGAACAATACTGGTCATGCTGAATGGTAAATACGATGTGAGATCAAAAAAAGGAAAAAGGGACTAACGTCGTCATAAGATTCACTAGATCACCACCGGGCATGTATTCCATGACCATATATAGATATCGCTGATCCTACAATTCCAAAAGAGTCAGTAACAGAGCAAGGGAAAGAACACACGGAAAGTACAGAGAAGTGTAGTTAAAACATGTAAGAAGAAAGTTGAAGAAGTCAAGAAACTCACTTGAAATGCGTAGTGAAGCCGCACGATCCAATCAGAATTCGCATGCGCCATAATGTCCCTTTCCTCCCAGAAAAACGCTGAGTCTGATCGTTTGATCTACAATGCAGTCCAGAAGTTAGCGTTGAACCGTTAACGTTTGTTTTTGAATTATTCTCCCCAATACAATGGGAAATAGGTACGCTCGAAAAAAAAATTCGGCATACCATGTCATCTTTATTGAGGAGCTTCATAGCATAAACACAATTGGTCTGAGTGTGTCGCACGAGCTGTACTTCTCCGAATGCTCCTCGTCCTATAACCTTCAATAATCGAAAGTCGGACCCTTTCAGCCGGTGTTGTGATACTTGTTCGATAACCTGTTGATCTGTAATAGATAGCTATGGATTATAAAAAGTCACTTTGTCATAAGAATCCCTATAAAACAAAACTTACACCTAGTGATGAAGCTATCTATGCTTTTAATGCGCATTAATGATGGAATTTTGCAATCAATTAGTAGAGCAGTGATGGCATCCTTAAACAATCAGGATTCGTTCGCAAAGAAGGAAACGAGAAAACTTAGAACAGTGCTAAAGACTTACCAGGAGGCTTTCGATGTTTAAGGGAGAGCGTGGGTCGAGCAAATGCCCGACCAAAGCCGACTCCACCATGCTCTGAAAGCCAGACCAATAAAATGGCATAAACATACGATGGCTAACAACGGAACACAAGATATAAAAATAGCTACGGAGTTGCTACCACAAACTTCATAACAACTCCAATGAGATCAAGTTTCATTGGTGATGAACATGAACAGCTAGCGGAACCGGTACTTAGATGCTATCTACATACATATACAAAGCAGACACTTCTATGATCATATTTCTATCACATTGACGACGACGTCACTCCAATCGATTTGCCGTCAGGTTCCGCAGAATTGTCGACTGATGCTCTGGGAATGGATCGTCGTTGCTGAGTAGTCCAGCCGAATAGTAGGTGAATTGGCTGTTTGATCGATCACTATGGTAACGTTTCTGAAGTTTACGACGCATCTGATGAACCTTGACTGCAGCACGAATGTCGCGTACTGTGAATGCCATCTCTCCTAAATTTTACAAAGAGATAATTATTGGATATTTGGATACCATAAAATAAGTCTCTACCACCGACGTTAAGTCGTTATGAGGGTAGGTAGAAAGGAGGATAGGAAAGATTTAGCGCTTCAGCACCCACGGGTCAGGCGGACTCACTGCAAGCGCCTTCCAACCATCTGTTTTTTCAGAAAGAGGTGGTTGTATATTCTTAGAAGCATCTTTAATTTCGCTTAGCAGCTCTTTGAATCCCATAAAATAGCCCGAAAAATGAAGGGTTTCATTTGAAAACGAAAAAACTCGAAGCCAATCCTTCACGCTCGAGAATTTCCTACATTGATGAGCCTGCTGAAGACTATTAAGTTACAGCAAACCTGAAAAGAAACGCACCATCATCGTCCGAATCGCTTTCCTCGAGTAAAATCTCCTGGAGCCATTCCCGCTCTTTCACATGTTGGAAGTTGAACAATTTCGAGAGCTATAAATCATAGAAAATAACTACAACAAAAAACTGCCTTTGAAGGTTTTTATTATGAAAAAAGGAAAAAATTAGAACTCATGTGTAGATCATGGTTAATCACCTTGTGTTTCCGTATTTCTTCCGTAGGATAAATTCCTTTGGCAGAGAAAATACTTGGCCGTCGATTACCCGGCAGTCCGCGAGTTTGGTGATGAACTAGCGTTGAGCCGGGAATTCTTGAAAAAAAGAAAAAAAAACATTAGGTGGATATAAAAAATACGTATCGCGGTCAAAAAATACCAAAATGTTACGAAATAAAAGTAACATCGGATGAGCGTTCGAACAAAAGACCGACAGGATATGAGTAGCAAGAAATCCAAATATGAGGCAGCTTATAATGTTCATAGTGCACATCGGCAGCTGGTGAAGATTGAAGCTTATGGGACGAATGAGCGGATGGTTACAAAAACTCGAAAACATCTCCTCGTAAAAATGGATTCGAAGTGTGAGCAAGTAGCATGAAGAAACTGGAGAAGGAAGCATTACGGCTGAATTATAGCAGTGAGGTGTTCAGCTAAGATGGAGACTATACAGAGCATCAATAAGTGAGAAAGGGACTAAGGGCAAAAAAGCCGGCGTGTTCAAAAATCAATCGTTACACACTTTCAAAAAATTCATCGAACTTACTTTATAGGCTGAGCCAACAGCTTTTCAACTTGTTGAATGTATTTAGTTAGATCAAGTGCTCGTTCCATTTTCTGAATACGAGCTGACATAGCGGCTACATCACTAAAAAGTAGTAATGAATCATTTTCAATACGAGCAGCTGATAAATCACATTTGTAATTCTGCTTTCTTATCGGAGGCTTCAACATTAAAACTTGAAACTAACCGTCTGTCATGGGCCCGAGCTACGATACCAGAATACGGAGCCAGGGAAGAGGATGGAACGTAGTCGTAGGCTCCATTATGTGTCATTGCTTTAACCATCTGAACCGGAAGGAATAATAGTCAAAACTGTGAAGTGCAGAAACATTTCGTACGAAAGCCACGTCGACGAGTATGAATCGGCAAGATGAAAAGAAGTACGATACGATTCAAATAGCTCTACAGTCAACATATTAAAGACACACCGGAAATGTTGAGCAAACATTATAAAACAGTTGCACGCGAATGGAAACAAAATCTCGAAAAACAAAAACAACAAATCCAAGGAAACGGTAACAAAAAAAACTTCGAAAGCAGAAATAATGAAGAAAGGAAGAGAACCTGTTGTCGAAGACAATCAACTTAACGAACAAATAGCAAATTCGGGGTTCGAATCAAAGCTTTCCTCGTACGGGAGATGATTCGACCGCGACCGATCTCTGCGCGGTGATCAGACGTCCAATAAAGGACGTTAGCCGTGGCTGCAGTAGACACACCTAGGCCACCTCTTTTTTGAAATTTCGGCAACAAAAAATTGTGAATATGCGCCTCTAAAGAGCCCATTTGGGTGTTTTCCCCATTTTTTGTTTTCTATTTATTTATTTTTTGTTTCCTCTTACTGAGTGAAGATTTTGGAATGTCTTTTTCCTATCTGTCCGTTATTTGTGTTATTTCAAAATGTGCTTTTGTGGAGTTAATACTAAGTACTTCGTAACTTTGCAGAAATTTTTGTTTTAGTTGATTTTTATGTGTTGATGGACTGGTAGGATAGATCGGCCTTTCATGTCTTTCGATGAAAACAAAATCATTATTTGATCATTGCCATAATAAAACGACCAAAAACTTCTCATTCCCAGAACCCTTTCTTTTAAATCTTGTCTCTGAACATTTCTCATAATTAAGAAAACATTACTGTTGAAGCTTCCAAGGTTTCCCTTTTGCTCTCTTAGAGCTAGCGCATAAATTCGTGTAAAAATCTGAGAATACTGCTCTGGGTTGCTGCCAAAAAGGCACTTTTCTCTACTAAGGTCCAGGAATCTTAGTTTTTTATTTTGTTAGAACTTCATATATAAAGATTATTCGGTCCTCGATACTGAATCTGACGATTTTCTTTGGAACCTTTTTTTCCTGCACAGTTGTCCGTCAATTTTTTTTTCAGCACTTAATTCCTTCAATGTAGTGCCTTGATAATATCCCCTCTATCTGGGTGTCCCGAATATTCAGCTATGCCTCCGGGTCATATCACTTTCTCTCCAAACTGCCCACTTCTTATGCTCCCTTGCAACCATGACATCCATTGCGCCGGCGTTAGAAATAACAATTGAAATACGAAAGAAATAATCTAAACACAGAAAATAAACTAAATAAAAATAAATATATAAAACAATGCCAATAGGTCAGTTTGCCCATTTAGGAGTGGTTTCAACGCTTTTTTTTTTGGAAATTTAGGGTAAGCAGAATTCGCAAGCTACTACAGGAAATGTAGATTTGACGTTAGATTCTATTGAGTTAGTTCGGTTCTTTTTCAGATATGCCGATGAAATTAAGTCATAAAATACAGATCATCTACGACAAAAGTTATGACTATTCGTAATGCCTTTTATTAAGGGAAGCAGAAAATTCTTGTGAGAATCGAACTCTTCTTTCTAATATCGCAAAATGCAGCGCAGCGCTCGTTGATGGTCTCATTTGTTTTTTTTTTACGAAAAAAACTAATTTGCTAGTTGTCTCTGGATGTATGAGCATGATGGGATGATTATAAATATCTGGTTTTCTTCAATGGATTAGAAAAATGGGGGTACTCAGTAAATTGTCGGCTCTGCGGGAGAACCATGCGGGCAAGGAGTAAAAACTGCTTCTCCTTTGAATTCTAACCGATCGCTACGAAATATCAATTAATAGCTAAATAAGCAATTAATTCCGAAAAAAATTGAAAAAGATAAAAAATCGAACTGAGCTCTAAGACTTCCTGAATTATACGTTGCCCTTGGTTTTCCTCTGTTCCCCAATTCAGAAAAAGAATTTTGTCGGCACTCAATTTTTGGGAGTTTTTGTTTTTTATGCTCTCATTGGTGAAGGTATTTTCATTGCTCTCTGTTTGATCCCAAAGGAATTCTGTCCTAAACTAGTTTTCTGTCTGTAGCACCCAACAATTACTGCCAACCCTCCACAGTGGATTGATTTCTCAATTTGAGTACCGGCTTGATACAGTTATTGTCAGATGAAACCAGTCGTTTCTACGATTTTGAGAAGAATTAGAGGATGTAGGGCACTTTAGAAGGACTGATAATAGATGATTCACTCTTTCAGTTCTGGTTAGTTTCTCTCTCCTTTGAGAGTCATGATTCGAGAAGAGCAATGCTCTGGGCTCAGTCGAGCATCGCCCAGCGGCATGTTGCTCAATTGGTCTCGGTGCGAGCAAACTCGGGCAGTGAAATCGACTTTTCAGTTAGCTCGCATCACTGGTTACCACGCTCTCGTGGAATTCTCAATCACATTAGCTCCTCTTCGGACTTTCATGTCTTATTGATTATCTCACTATACTTAATAGGTTCATACTGTAGCTTAGGTAAAAGAAAATCCGCTCATGAGGTATCAAAAACTTTATCACATCAAGCTTTACTTTTAATCTGCCCTTTGTATCAATAGAAGAAGAATAAGAGCGCCTAGTGCAGAGAAAAGTTACTTGTAAATGGGTTGAAGTAAAACTGAAGGTCAAGGAAGTGGCATCGAGTAACCTAAATCGTGTAGATAAAAAAGAAATGGATCTTATCGCGATTTCGGTAAACTGGACAGATTCCGTGACTGGAAAAGTTCTGCTCACGTTTGTACTCAGATCAAAGCTGACATTATAATGCTGAAACCATGATTCAAAAATCGGTGAGGCAAAAAAGAACTTCAAATCAGAAACTCAAAGTACAGATTCTAAACGTCGCCCTCTCTAGCCTCTTTCAGCATAAAATTGGATTGACAACCAATTTGGTGGTATCGATGGAACTTTTCAGGGAGAGGGATGAAAAATCAATTCCTGCACCTTTCAAAAATGAAGTCTTGAAATTTTACTTGCATCTATTTTCATAAATTCGTTACTCGACAGAATAATCTATTTCAAAAACCAGGTCTTTACGGTTATTTCTTGAATTCACTCATGTTTTCTCGTTTTATGCGGGTGAAGTTGAGAAAAATCCAGGTACTTCTGGAGTTAGATGGAAACTGAAGTACTTTCAAATAAAATTACAGTAGAGCTATTGTTTTTCTCATTTCCATTTCTTATTTCCTAGATAAGATAACATGCTGTGAGGGATCTATCAGAGCTAGGGATTTTGTTTAGATGGTTTCTAGGAGCTTCCTTTGTATGAATTGCCCTGAATGAGGTGGGGGAGAGGGCGATTTAGTAAGGAAACTCCTACATCGCCGTCGTTTCTCCTTTCCCATATGACACATAACACTGTGAAAGGTCGTCTTTCTATCTTTAGTTCTTAGGTTTCTCACAAAATGGTCAATTTCGAAAGGGCAAAGTATGTGATGGGTGCCGTTCCCATTAAAGCGGTAGAATAATTGAATCCAAGGTCCCAGAAGAGTTGAAAATTAGAAACTGAAGGCTCTCAATCGTAATTGCTCATTTGAAGCTGCAAGTGAGAGTTTTCCAGAAAGTTCTTCATTTCTGGTTCCCCTTCTTATCTTTTTTTTGGGGAATTGAGAGATATCGGTTCGTGAATGAAGGGATTTAGTAGAACCGACATAAGAAAAGAATCACTTGAATGGGTGAAAATGAAAATAGATTTAATTTTCGGCTGTATAAATACATAACTACGCCTTTGTGTCAGTCAAACTATTTACTTTCCGGCCATTTTCCATTTAATTGCATTTTTTGGTGTCTGAATGCAGTTCAGTCGAAAGCAACATTGAGATCGTTTTCTAGGTCGCTTCCGTTTTTAATTCGGTTTTTGATTAATTCTACAATTTTTTGTTTTTGTACTGTACAAATGCTTTTCAGAATTGCTACAAATCTACGAATCATGGTCGTTCGTAGGAAATACGTTGCATTTCTTCGAATCAATCGGACATTTACTCGACATGACTCATTGAATATGGCTCATCTATGTTTACTTTTGAAGGTTTGCTGTTGGCTTATCCTTATATGACGAAAACAAAATGCACGAATCGACCATAACCAGGTGGTTGCCAGAAGCGGTTGGAATGAAAATGAAGCTAGCGAGCAAGAGGGA